CTCATATTTTTATAATTTATGTATTTACAAAAATTTTAGAGAGGTTTTTGCTAGAGGGCATGTGCACTTGCCAGAGAGACATAGACAGAAAGTGAGAAATCACCCCCCAGAGGCAATAGCCAAGCTGCAATCCCATCTTCTCCATTCTCCTCTCGCAATTTTGGGCCCACATACACATGAGCCGGGTACGAGTTTTAAGCTGCTGAGTCTGGTACTCAAACCACGGTTGATACATAGGAGTTTAGCAATATAACCATTATACCATCTGCTGGTCCCTGTATGTATATTATTTTTAGGGTAAAAAAATTACTTATTTTTTAGGTAAAAAAGTAAAGAATGAATAAATTTAGTAGCATTGTTTGAAGTCATTTAAATTTCTTTCTTTCTATTTTAATTTAAATTTATTAAATTTATATTTTATATTTTCTATAATATACATATGTTATTTTTAGAGGAAAAAATGACTTTTTTTTTTGGAGAGGTTTTTGCTATAGGGTACATGCACTCGCCAGAAAGACAGAGAGAGACAGAGAGATAGAAAGCGAGAAATCCCCCACAGGGAGATGGGCATGCCGCAATCCCTTCTCCTCCATTTTCCTCTTGAGATCTTGGGCATGCACGCACATGCGCCTGGTGTGAGTTTAAGCCACCAGGTCCAGGACTTGAACCGCAGTCAACTACATGGGAGTTCACCGACACAGCTAACTGCTGGTCCCAAGAAAAAATTCCTTATTTTTAAAATTCAATCAGACCTATGTATCGGCTTAGATTTCTGAACATCTGTGGTAAAATGAACTTCATTTATTTACTGTTTAAAACATAGGTGGTCTGTTTTCAAAGTTTATCAATCCTTCTCCTGTGGCCCAACATGTACCACAAATGGTCCACAGTTAGCCTGGGGGACTGTGGGGCTGAGGGTTGGGCTGTGGGCTACTGAAACCCTAGCTCAGGAACAGCCTCCTTCCTCAACTCCAGTGTGCTACACACATAGTACTGTTTTCTAGGAGATCTGCACCATGAAAAAGGTTGCCACATAGTGGTTATATTTCTTTGCCTTAAGACCCTAGAATGTCACCCTGACTCCCCCAAAAATATGAAATTGAATTCTCTCTTGAATTACTATCCTTCTGATATGAAAATCCAGAAGCATTTCCCAAACTATAATGCAGAGAGGATTGACCTATCAACATTTCTGAAGAGTAAAGACACCTGGAATGTGAGGTCTATTCTTGAACTAATGCTTATTTAACAATAAAAAAATGGCAACGAATTCTCACGACCAAAGAAAAGATCATGGCTTTACAAAGTCAATTTTTATGCATATCTACATCTAGTCTTTCTACATTGATAATACGGCCAATTTGGCTAAAATTTTAGTTAGTAAAATAGGTATAAGTAAATGAAAATATCTTCCTTTCTCTGCCCAGTCAAATCTCTTTCAACATTTTCTAAATTCGTTCTTATGAGGAATTTTTTGACTGCTTCTATATGCAGGGAAGTGCTTATTGGGAAATTATAATTTAACACAGAATGAAAGCTGAGCATATAGGCAAGTGGAGTTTATAATGGGAAATGGATTGGCCGGCCGGCCAGCCTGCCTCCCTCCTTCCCTCCCTCCCTCCCTCCTTTCCTTCCTTTCTTCTTCCTTCCCTCCCTCCCTTCTCTCCCTCTCTCTCTCTCTCTCTCTCTCTCTCTTTCTTACAAGACTTTCCTGCAGCGGGAGAATCAGATAACCAAGAAAGAACAGTGTAAGGCCCACGGGTATATAATGATTAGTTCTTCTTACCATGACCTATGCATCTACATTAGTTTTGAGAAGTAACAGTTTGTGTTCACACACTTTTCTCTATGGCTATGAAATTAATATGTAAATAACTGAGAAATGAAATTTCATCTTGTATAACAACCAACCTGTTAGATATCATCAAAATCCTCCCTGTCTTTGATACCAGTGCATGTAATTCTGTAAAGTAAATCTCATTAAGTGTGATTTTCCTTAAATTGATGTGTGAAGTATGAAAGAATGACTGTATTTTGCAATGAAAATTCAATTTCAAAAATTATTTATAAATAACGTTTTTAACTAGAATGTAAGCTTTAAGAGATTGTTCACTGCAGTGTCTCCAGGATCAAGAATAATAGCTTATGCAAGTTAGGCATTACATAAATGTTAAATGGGTGATGTTCTCTGACCTTGCATAGAATTATTAAATCACATGTTTTAGAATCTGGCGCAGGTTTTTATATGTAGCTATAAGTTTCTCAACAGTAAACAGCAGGAACAGAAAAGGGCAATATTTATCTTGTACATCATTATTCCCAGAGACAAGTGATTCCTATAGACAACAAGTCAAATGAATTAAGAAAGGCTAAAATTGTGTCTTATATATCTATCATCTTCAGTAATTAATTGCATGAGGTATGTGGCCTGATGCCTACATGATTAAGAATGTGCTTGGAACAAGGTTGCCATGTTGATTTCAAGGAAGGCTGAAGAGAGAGTGTAGATGCTCGTGGGTGCTGGCAATCTTACTCAGCCTGGCTGGCTCCTCATGTGATTTTGAGGAAGACACAGGTTTTGCATGCTAGTGTTCTTATTAAATACCTTGTGATGCCTTTGACCCTTTTTCCCAGTGAGTGAAAAATACATAAAGAACAAAATTAATGCTCTACTTTCTAAAGCAGCTTCCCAACTGAGCCAGACCTGTGTAAATTTGTCCATCACCTATTTTTCTGTGAAATGATTTCTGAAAATATGTTTAATTGTTTTGGAGAATATTTCCACTTTTTTTCCTTTTTTTTTTTTTTTTTTTACAATGACAAAAGATTAGGTCAATTTGATGCTAGAGAAGCTGTGATTTGGGAAGAAGTGAGGGTGGTGGTCATTTTGGATTAATTTTTATTTTTTTCCCTGTAAATTAGTAGAAAAGACCTCTCTCACCTTAGGATAGTACAACAGCAGTTGGCAGGGGTTAGAGAAATCTTACTAATTTGAACACCGTTTCTTTTGACACATTCAGGTTTAAAGTATCAGATCCTGTGTTTTCTGTCCCCCAGGGTCCACTGAATTCTGATGCTGCCTTCCGACAAAGAAACTCAAGACAATTAGACATGCTTGAATTCACACTATTGCTCTGTCACCTGCTAATTGTTGAAATGAGCCTTAGTTCCTCCTCTGTAAAATGCAAATGACAATGTCAGTTTGTTCCTTACAGAACTCTAATGGGGATTAGATTATATAGACACACATATAATTTCTAATCAGGATTATTTCCATAATCTCTAAACCTCATTATACATTGCTTAGTACAACACCATAATAAGTACTCCATTTGTGGTAGCACCAATGAGTACTCTTTTTTAATTACTATTTATGCATTCAATCACTATACATCATTTATATTGTAAAGAGAATTTACCCACCATGAAATAGACCTCAGACCAGTCCAGTTGGAGAATACTGTACACGTCATCATCAACAGGTAATAAACAATTTCTGTGTCCTAACAAATGTCTTACCTCTCTATTTTTTGCCTCAAATTTCCTTCCCTACTCTCTTCCCCTTTCCCACTCCCCTTCCACTTTGAACAATATTCTAACTACTGATGAGAATATAAAAACAGGATGTGAGAGTGCTAGCAGGTGGCATAGTGGTTAAGGCACTGGACTCCCACATGGGTAATTGCAGTTCAAGTCCCAGACCTGGCAACTTGACCTTCATGTCAGGCACATGTGTGTGCATGCCCAAAATCCCAGGAGGAGAATGGAGGATAAGGGATTGTGGCATGGTCATCCCTCTTGGGGGATTATTTCTTACTTTCTCTCCGTGTGTCTCTCTGGTGAGTATACACACCCTATAGTAAAAATCTCTCTAGGAAACAACAAAACAAAACACAGAACTTGAGCCTCACCACTCTATTTTCACATTGATTTCATCTCTGTTCTTCAGTTTGCTCGTAAAAATGTAGATGAAATGCTTGGTATTTCAATTTGTTATAAAGAATTGAATGAGAATGATATCTAAGTTATAAGCTCATCACTGGCAATGGGTGTGGATGGTCTGGTTTTTTTTTTTTTTTCTCTTACTCATAGGCTCAGTTTTGTGACTTTCCTCTCAGGGAAGTTACTCAGTTTATGATACTGGTTCCAGGCATATATCCTCTTCTTTCCTTCAGACACTTGGGCCTTCCCTTGTCCATCCTAATGCAGCACTGAAGCTTCTTCATATGGAGCCCAAAATACACAGATAACATTCATCATGTCCTTTAGTGCTCCCATCAAAGGAACAGAGTGACCTTGGTATTATTCTAATAAAAATCTAAGGCTGTAAACACTTAAATGAGTGTCCTTTTGCAAAGTAATTAGTTGGTGTTGCTGTTTATGTATTTTAAAAAACCAGAAACTATCACTTCAAAATGATGTACTATATGGGCACTCAGAGGCCCTCAATAAATCTTTCATTGAATAGAATTATGATTCATTTTAAGTAGTATCTTAATTAAAGAATACATTTTGAATTTAAATAGTTTTATAGATTGATGTGCTTACTATAAATCCTCATAAGTCAAATATTACTTGAGCTATGCAAGCTAGAAAAATAACTTGAATTCGAATAATCTCTACCCTTAAGAGTTTTTACACATTTTCAATGTAAATGACTCTAATCTTTGTGAAAGCAGAAAAGACGCGATATCATTGCCAAATCATTAAGTCAGAAAATGGACGCTGTGAAACATCTAAGGCACTATTCAGAGGGTTCATTGTTGTTGTTAAAAATGATCTATTACTGTGATTAATTGCTTTTGAAATTTTGATCAAAATCGATCTGCCCAATTTTCTAGCATGGGCCGTGTAAGCCAAATCTCACTCTGGAATTACATAAATCAATTTAGTCTGGACTTCTGTAAGAAATGGGGGGGAGAAAGATAGAAGCAATTTCTGAGTTGTCATTGACTGATGGCTGTTCTGATTTCACAGTTTTAGTAAAGAAAAGGTCTTACCGTAGCTGTCATAGGCATCCTCACTTACTCCATGACCGTAGTCATAGTATTCAGGAACACTGCAACAGATTTAGACAGCAATCAATGTCACTGTAATTGGGGGGGATCAACCCAGAAACTCATATGGAATCTGAAGGCAAAATGTGTGCTAAGGTAATAGCCAAAGAACCTCTAGACAGAAAACACATTCCAAAAGGAGAATTCAGTAAGAAAAATACAGGTTATTGACAAGGAGTGTGATGATCTTTTCATGCCACCTCAGTACTTCTTCATCTCTATCTTCCAATTTGAAAACTCAAATTTTCCCTAAATTGCAAGTATAATATTTCAACATTTGTCCAGAAGAGAGTTATAAAAGGTCTATTTCCAAGAAAAAGTGCTAGGATGATCACAATCTGGTCAGCCATGTATGACTTTTAATGCTGTTATTTTAAGAAATATGCATCTGTTTTTTCACTTCTAAACAAAAACTATATTTATACTTCCCTCTGTTCCTTCCACAGCATGTCTGTGTACTTCTCACGTATATGGGAGCCATAACTTTTCACTCAGTATTTCACTAGCTGTTTACAGATTTTATAATTTGTCATAAAGGAGTTTTTCCACCATTTCTTACTCAAAGGACAATTATTTCCACTCCCTCCTCTGAATTGTCCTTAGTTTGTCCTGCAACACAAGTTTTCCCCTTAAGGAATCATTCTTGTTCACTTCCACACTTCTTATAAACCTCCAATCCTTTAAAGCCCTCTCACCCGCATACCGTCTAGCAACTTTCCTTTTCTCCATCCCTTCACAGCAAAATGTTTTGAAGAGGTTCTACTCATTCTTTTCACGGGCTCGCCCTCCATATGTTTCTGGACATACAATCAGGCTGTAGTTCTCACAGTTTTATTGAAATAACTCTCATCAAAATCCTGACATTTTCAAACTCAGTGGTCAAAACTTGGTTTTCACTTTCTTTGGTATCATTTAATATGGCTGGGCCTTTCTTGCTCCTTCAAACACTTCACTTGTTTCTGAGATGTCCTTTCTCATGAATTCCTTAAGGAGTTAACTCCATTTTTTTCAAGTCTGAATGAAGGCTTTTTTTCCTACCACTTACTCCTAGAGACCACTGGACATCAGTTATGAGAACTTTTCTTTTTTCTCCTCACACTCATCCCCTAGACAATCTCATCTCATCCCATGGCTCCAGATAATCTGTACTCTGAAGACCCCCAAATTTTATCTCCTATCCTATGGCTCCAGATAATCTGTTCTCTGAAGACCCCCAAATTTTATCTCCTACCCTTGGCACCTCCCCTCTGGCCTCATCTCATGTATCCCACTGATTAGAATATATTTCCATTTGGATGGTAAATGTAACACATCTAAATACAAGACATTTTATTTTCTTTCTATCTTAGACCTGTTCCTTTTGCACTTTTCTCATGTTTACCAGTAACATCTTAAGTAGTACTAATCATGCCAAAAACCATAAAGTCATCTCCTTTCTCTGACATTGAATATTCAACAAACAGCCAATTTTACTTCTGTAGTTACAAAATATACCTAAAATCTGAACACATCCAAACATCTCTACAGCTGTGACTAGAGATAAGTTTATTACTATCTCTCAATAACAATATCCTTCCAACTGATCTCTCTGTTCTGTTTGCTCAGTTTTTAGTTTTCCCATAGCAGTCACAATCGTTCTTTTACAATTAAGTTAGAGTATATTAGTTTTTTACTCAAAATCCATCAATAGTTTCTTATATCTTTTAAGAAAAAAGAATAAAAATTTTAACTTTGCCTGCACAATTTAATATTTCTCATGCCTCATCTTTTTTACTTTCCCCCTTGCTCACTCTAGTTAAGGCACATTGAGCTCTTACACATTAATTACAGACATAATACAGTAGTCCTCCCTTATCTACAGTTTCCCATTCCATGGTTTGTTAACTATAGTCAACAAAAATCTTAAAATATTAAATGGAAAATTCCAGAGATAAAAAAGTTAGTAAGTTGTTTTTTTTTTTTTTTTTTTTTTTTTTTGCCATAGTGCATGTGGGCTTAATAGCCCAGAGAGAGACAGAGAGATACAGAGATAGGGAAAGTGAAACCCCACCCCACCCCCCCAGGTTGATGGCCACACTGTAATCCCTTCTCCTCCACTTTCCTGTCAGGATCTTCGGCACTCATACACACATATCTGGTGTGACTTTCAAGCCACTGGATCCAGGACTTGAACCATGGTCATCCAGCCACCTTAACCACCATACTACCTGCTGGCCCAAATTCATGTTCTAAACTGAATGCCACTCTGAGTAGCATGATGAAATCTTCTAGTGTCCCACTCTCTCTTATCCAGGATGTGAAGCATTGCCTAGCCCAGTAGATCCATGCTGCATGTGCTACCTGCCCATTAGTCAGTCAGTAAACCATTTGGTTATCAGACTAAAAATCACACTCCCCTGGGGGGGGGGGGGGGGGGGGGGGGGGGGCCGCCACTGGTACTATCTGCAGATCCAGGCATCCAGTGGTTGGCTCGGAACATAAACCCCATGGATAAGGGATACCTACTGTGTAATCTCAGGACCTTTGTATGTACCATTTCCACTGCCTGGAACATGTTTTTCCTTAATGTCCAGTTGTCCCTTCTCTCATTCTTTCAGCACTCACTCAAATGTCACTAAAGGGAGGCTTCCCTGATCCATCTTCTTAAACTAGTACTCACCATGTTACCTTGCTTTTGTTTAATCTAGAATTTATCAGTCACCACTGTACATATTACATAAACAAACTCACAAACTGCTTCTGTATTCCAATATTCCAAAAGCAAAGGATAATAAGTGTTGCCCAAAGATGTCTTTACATTTTACTATTAGATTTTGCTACCACGTATGATCCTTAGAACAATCTTCAGGCCCCCAAACAAGCAACAGTAGGAAGTCATAGGACACTGCAAAGGTTGTGGAGTCCTCAATGAGGACATACTGTACCATACCCAATTCGGATATGGCCATGGCTAAGTCCATTTATCCAGTAGAATAGAAAAGAACCTTTAAGGAACTCTGGCTTAACTCCCAGAAAAGAGAACCAAGGTTTCTAGATGCACTAATCAAAACACTTATTTCACTGCTATTGCATAGTGTTTTTTCATCTCTGCTTAGGAAGATTTTGTAACTGTTATTGTCCACTGAGTTTTCATTGTTTTCCTAATGGCAGTTTCTATAGCAGTTAGGCAGTTCCTTTTTGATCATTTTATGTTGGGTCTTCCATATGGAAAGGAGGATTGAGAGAAGGAAAGAAAATCTGTTAGTGAATTTTACATTGCCAAACTTCAAAGAACTACTTCAAGATCTCCTGTAGAGGTCTACATATTTCTGAGAGATCCTGGATGCAGTCATTGGAATTAAATTAGTATTTTTCTTTGTTAGGGAGAAGGTATGTATGTTTGTATGTTTTTTCTAATTGGAAGAAGAATTTTCACTCACAACTGGATAACTAGAGGGTTGGCTTACAAGAGACTCCAAAATAAATTTCTCTTTTTTTCCAATAAGAGACACTGGTCAGCTCAAGATGACATTCTCTAGTCTCCCTTACATTTGACTGTAGCAATGTGTCAAGTAGTGTTACAGATTCTCTACAACTTTCATAAAAATAATTTTTAGGTCAGATGCTTGTAGGGAAGTTAAGTTGGCTGTTCCTCCATGGCTACCTACACTGTTTCAGTCCCAGAACTGAAGGCTTGAAAAACAGGCCACATGTATGTGCTTAAAATACCGAAAGGAGGGAGAAATGGAGAAGGGATTGTGATGTGACCTTTCCCAATGGAGGAGGCTTTGTTGATCTCCTTCTTTCTCTCTGTCTTTCTGTCTCTCTCTGTGGAGCTCATGAGTCATCCAGCAAATTAAAAAATAAAATAAAAGTAATTTCCTTGTCTCCTACTTTTCACGAAACTGGCTAGAAATGGCCATGACCAGAGCCACCATGGAAGACTTATGTTAACAATGACATTCCACTTAGCATGGATCCCAAATGGTGCCATGGCACAGAGCTCACTTACCTGCCCTAGTCTGTGTAAGAGAAATAAATGTTTCTCTTGTCTGAGCCACTGCATTGAGTGATCTTTCTATGAAAGCTTTGCTTATACCCCAAGTAATATAGTTAATAATTAAAACAGTAATTTGAAGATTAGTAGAGATTGAATAAATATTTGCTGAATGAATAAATAAATGATTGAACAAAAAGAAGTCAAAGAAGAGATCATTGTAGCCAGCCACATGACCTAGTGTTTAAGGGAACAACTAACTGGATCCTGCACCTGACTGATTTCAAAACCTGGTGGCTTGTAAAGCGTTCTTGGCACATGTGCTTGTATAACTCAAATCTTAATATGGTGGAGAAATGAAGAAGGGATTGGGGCATGATCATTCCCCATGGAAGGGTGTTTTCTTCCTTTCACTGTCTCTGACAAGAACACACGCTCTCTGGCAAACACAAAAAAGAAAACCAAAAAACATAGTATTAGAACGTGAACAATCTTGAAATATTTTGCTATAAATATCTGTATAGAATTGTGTGTATGCTTTAAAATGGACATTCACTTATATTGACAATGGAAACATTAAAAACAAAAACACTCATTTTTTTCTGACATAAATAGTATTCAGACTATGACACTGCTTCTGCCTTCTTTATCCTTAATGTTTATCAGTTTTCCCAAAATATTTATTACTGTCTAAGGTCTTGAAATAAAAAATCCAGAATGCTATATAGAATTTTACTAATGACTAGATATTGTGGGATCAATGCAGCTAATATGATATACTCTGATTTGCCATATGTGCAGTTCCTAGGAAAATTTTATCTGCTATAACCACCAGAGTAATTAAGTTCTAAATCACTAGTAATTGTCATAATTTTAATTAACACCTCTATAATTGTAACAGTGTGTTTAGAAACCTTGATCACTATATTTTCTGAACTGTAAGGTGAAATAATAGTGAACCGAAAAGTAAACAACCAGGTTTTGTTTATCCATAATTCATTTGTCTTCTACTCATATTTCAGCATA